TGGGGAGATGGCTCAGTAGAATAAGCGCTTCCCTGGCAAGTGCAAGGGCCTGAGTTCAATCCCCAGTTCTGCAAAAAAGAAAAGAAATGACCCTGTTGATGCTCATACCACACGCTTTTTAAATCTCAAGGTACCCCAAGAGGTAAGTACTAGTTTCTTGTCAAAGACAGGGAAACAAACTCTTGAGGTTATCAAAAATGGGCAAGCCACAAAGTGAGAGGAATAGACAGCATTAGAATCTAGACTTACTGAAATAATTTTTTTATGACTTATATATAATACTGGCTTCTTAGAGAGTATTTAGAAAAATGGCAGGAAAAAAAAAGAAATTAACCCATTGCTCTCCCAGTGGTTGCCAGATGAATATTTTGGGACAACTATTCCAGTCTTTTTGCTATGTATTATTAAAAGTATGAATACATCACATATCAAAATGCATGTATTAGTACTTTAAATACATTAGTTATCTTCTGATTTTAAAATGGAAGCATCCATGTAGAAAATTCGGAAAATGCTACCTGTGTGTGAAACTGAAGTCACTTGGAATTGTATAGTCAAAAGCAACCACTGCTAATATTTTAATATATTCTGTTAGTCTTTTTCTATCAAATTTTTCTGTAGCTAAGGTTATACAAGATTTTTAAGTATAAAGGTTTGAATGGGTGATGACAAAGAACTTGGTGACAGTATTTGCCACTCTAAGTAGGCAACAAATAATCAATGTTCCTTGTTTATTGAAAAGGTCATCAAAAGATGTGTAAATTTAAATAAAACCTGTGCTAAATTTCTAGTAAGATGAAACCTGACATAGATGACCATGTTTGTTTATTTTCTGTATCCATGAGGCTCTACATCATTTACACAAGAATGCTCCACACATTTTCAACCATATTCCCCTAGGGGAGGAAAGATACATAACTGTAGTTTAATTAAAACTTTTTCATATCATAACGAAAAGCACATAATGCACCTTAAACATTCTTCATACTCATATAAAAGAGGCTTAGCAGGAAAATAAGGCATGATTGATAATGAGTTAGTGAAGTTCTAATTGGTACAGCAGACTTGACTTATATTATCAAAGTTCCAAAGAATTCATTATCAAAGCTAAAAGCTTCAATTGTGTGAAGCGATAAACCTTACAACAGCTGTTGTGGAAAGCCTCCACATAAGTTTACACAGGTTACTAAAGGCAAAGAATAAGTAAACATGAATGCCAGCTGGAATGTTATGTTCACACGGCTTCCTTTTGACTTAAACAGTCATGACACACTGAATGAACTGAAAGAGAAAAAAAAAGACAGTGTTACATTACAGAGCTCAAAACATTCAGTACATTGTAGTACATGGTTATGTAGCTTACACGTTAGTTTTCTAAGTTGGAATTGCAGGTTTAACCCCCCCCCACAACTTTCTAATATATGCCTAAAAGATTTAGGGAAGCAGTCTAATATAAAATCCAACTGGTTTCTTTCATCTTACAGGAAAGATGTATTGCTTCAATGGATAAAGACCTATTCAAAGCCCAGCTAATAACAGTCAACACTGTAAAAACAGTCATAGTCAAAGAATTCCCACAAATACAAAAACTGAAGCTTATATACCTGAATCATGTGGGGATTTCCACACTGTAGTTTTAGTTTTATTACATTTTAATGGAGCACCTTTAAGTACTTTACTCCTTTGAAATCTGCTTTATTAAAGGGAATAGAAACAGAACAGCTGAACCTTTGACAGTTCAGCAACATGAGTCCTGAGCATCAGCACTGGCTATATAACGCAGGATTCCCCACTAAATGCACAGCAGTAGGCTCTGTTCTGTTAATTTTGTTTTTTACTCTGAAACTAGCAAGGCTCTGTGTGCTGCTAATCCTTGTAGCTCTTCCACACAGCCAAGCTGCTTATCCCTATGTTACAGAAAAAGCCGAAGACCAGGGCATTTATAAATCTCTTCGGTGGACTGGTCTGAGGCAAAATCCCATGCTTTTCCACTCCCCAGTCTGCCTCTTCATCTTTGGAACAGTGACAGGACTTGGTGAGAAGTTAAATGCACTAAAGAAACAACCATCAGTAGAAGGAAGCACACTGTGTTTACACACACTGAGCCTTTGAAAACTGCAGTGGCCTCAAGCCAAAAAATATATACATCTCTGTGTTTTATAATGGAGAAACATTTTAGAACACTCAGTGATCACAGTGATCTCAATTCTTAAAGTGATTTCTTCTCAAAGGACGCCTAACAAAAAATGGAGAAACAACTAAGTGTGTCCCTCCTTGGTTAGGCACATCCATCAGAGACATCAAAGATGCACTAGGTTATTTTCTCACTGGCTACCACGCCTTATCCTACCTTATTTAAAGTGGTTATCTAGTAAATAACTTTTTTTAAGTTGTGCTTTTAAAATTAATACTGCTTCATGTTGTCAATGAAGGACATGGACATGTTGTCCAGTTTTGAGCTGCGAAAGCTACTTCTCAATGACTTGGGCAGACACAGTATCTGCAAGGGGTAAGGTGGACACTTCTGATGAAACCTCACAACTTAAGATGAAAGAGGTATTATTATGAGAGTTCCTATGACTATAGTCATAGTCTCAGAGCAATTAAGGAATCTGCTTACCCAGCTTGTAAGTGCCATGGGCTGGGACTTGAACCCTTGTAGTTTAACAAATCTAACAGTAGTCTAACAAATGGAGAAGACTAATCATAAATGAAATTAATATATTTTGCATGGAAGCTTCTTCTGATCACTTAGTTCCTAACTTTGCTGACATCTTTAAGAAGTTCTTAAAAGCTGACTTCAAAAGGGAGGCCCGTTGTTGTGCTTATGGTACCCATCTACTAAGCTCTTAATTTACTGAGACTTACGTCATCATATGAGAAATTCACAACACCATGCTGTCCAGAATCCCGTCTTCGAAAGCTATCTGAAAAACAACACAGAAAAAAGAAAATAAATATATATATATATATGTATATATATATATGTATATGTATATTTCCTAAAACCACAAGTTAATTACTGATATTAGGTTCAAACTGCAATAATGTTAAAACTGTACCAGCAGTCACATAAAAGACCAAAAGAAGCCAAATGTATGAATATTAGAAAACTTACTATGTTAAGTGTTATAATAGGCAGAAGTTGGCCAATTGCTTTTTTTCATTATGGAGCAGGGAGAAAATATCTTACCCCAAAGTCAGTGGAAGTTGTATGACTTCCAAGACCATTCACAGCCTATGATTAAATATTCTAGCTGTTTAAGCCCTACTCTACTGAAAAACATTCACTTGAGAAGCATTCATAATTTACTCTTCAGCTAGTTCACATTCTATAGAGAACTCAATCACATTTTGCCCAAATGGCACAAATTAAGGCTTGGTTAACACAGCGGTAGCAGAGCACCAGCCTCACATGCAGGATGCTCTGAGGACCTGGTTTGAACCTCTATCACTGCCAAAAAGGACAAGACAAGCAAAGCACTAAATGACTGGTTATATGGTGGAACATCTGAGCACAATTTACTTTTCTAATTGTTTTTCTCAGTACCAGGGACTGGACCCAAGGGTATTCTACCACTTACATACATGCCCAGGCCTTTGTAAGATAGGACCTTGTTAAGTAGCCAGGCTGGCCTCAAACCTGTGGCCTTCCTGTTCAGCCTTCTGAGTGGCAGAGGTTACAGACGTGTGCCTCAGTGCCTGGCTAGTTAAGATTGCTCATTAATTTAAAAAAAAAATTCTGACAAGAAAAGTTACTACGTTAGCTATGCTTAATGGCAGTGCTAAAAGTGCACTATATGAAGCATCTACTGACAAACGAAGTGAATGGATGCCACACCAGCGCCCTGGCAGACCGCACCTGTGAATGCCCGCAGCCTCACACAGCAGGCGATATAGTCATCGAAGGTGATCTTCCCATTGGTGCTGTATCGTTTTGCGACCGAGTTCACAGTTTGAGGATTTAGCCTAAACCCTGAAAGATAGTAAAATCATCCCACAAAAAAAAAAAAGAGAGAGGAAAAAAGAAAAAGTTTAAAGGCTTAAAACTATTATTAAAAAAAAGCAAGCACAAATTTTTTAAGACTGTTGACTCCTCTTAATTGGCAGTGGACACAGTGTCTAAGCAAACAGAAACCCTGTGCAGGGAGCGCTGATGTATGGGGAATCCCGCTGCTGGGGCACTGCAGCCGCTGGCCCCACGCACCCATTGCGGTCAGCGCCTTGTGCAGCTCCTGGGGGTCCACGGTGCCACTGCGGTCGCTGTCGAAGCTCATGAAGTGCTGCCTCCAGCCGTTCAGCACAGCCCAGAGCTCCTTAAACTCGGTGAACCCCATCGTGCCAGACATATCTCTCTGAGATGGGGTCAAGGAACATTGTCATGTTACAACAAATGGGCAACATTTTCTAAAGTCTGAAGTTGAGATTGGGCTAAGAGGACTTTACTGTTCTTTCTGCTAAATGGGTAAAAAGAATTACTGTACCTTGGTATGATGAAATGGTTAATGGTAAACAAAAAGATATCATAGGAAGAAACTGGTAGAACAGCTGCGTGTACCTATTCATGCTGTGGGGAAAGGCAAACCTACGTGGTCTGATTAGAAACAAATGATGAATTGTGAGCTACCAAAAAAAGCCACAAACAATAAGTGGTTGTTTCTGGGACTGGGTTGCACCCCTTACTGCCCCAGGCTCCACAGTTTTCCCTCTGGCTGGGGTCATCTGTGGCTCTTCTGTGCTGGGCAAGCCCTTCTAGACTTCTGGAAAATGCCTCCGGATGGAAGGCTTTCCCTTCAGCACCAAGGAAACTGAGTTGGAGGATTGCGAGGTGGACTCCAACCCTCAGGAGTGCAAATCACACAGTGGAAAACCGATCCTGGTGCTCCTTTCACTACACTTGTTCTATTTTGATGATTCCTTGTTTTTTCTGTTTTTATTGCCTTAGCACTGAGCCAACTCCTAACGCCATAGTTTTGACACAAGGCCTCACTAAGTTGCTAACTTGCTGGAACTTGTGATCTTCCTGCCTCAGCCTCCCAGAGTGCTAGGATTACAAACATGAGCCACCATGCTGGCTACTTCCTTCAATTCTGGAACCATTAACCCTCTAATTACTACCTTTCTGTCCTATTTTCACATTAAATTGCATCCTAAAATCTAATTACTTCACTAATCATTTTAGTGGCTGTCACTTTGTTTTTACTGGATATTAATTATGAGATGAATTTCTTTAGGAAGGAAATTTATTGTTAAGAAAAAATGCTCTAGATCCAACCAAGATAAAGGATACATCCAGCATTGAAACCATAAGCCGACAAGTCTCCAGGTTAAAAGCTGTTAAGAGAAGTACATACATATAAATTTTTAAAATTCACTTTACATTGGATACATTCCAGTGAATTAGGAATGTGATTATTTACTTTGTTGTAATCTGCTACTCAGTTTGTGTGAGTCTAGAACTTATATTTGAATTTAAGAGGAATATTTTTAAAAGTATTACATATAATAGTCTTGTTGATACTTTCTTGTCTTTCATATTATAATACACCTAATATATAGTGAGTTCAATTCACCATGAAAAACCATAATGCAGTCCATCCACCAGTTGTGTGCGAAGGTGGGTTGTATTGCTCCTCTTTCTTCATTTTTTGTGACTGAGAATTGAACTCAGGACCTTGCACTTGCCAGGCAGGTGTGTGCCAGCCAGCTATGTGCTGAGCCCTGCTCCTGCTCTTGAGAGACAAGAAATAGCTGGTTTTGTTAAATTTTGTCTAATTATTGCTTTTGTCTTTTCCCTTTACTGTCAGGCACTATACAGCAACCTCTTACCGCAAGTGATCTACCATCTCATTTTATGTGCAGTAAGTTTGTTTAGGAAGTCCACACACTTTAGACCACTGTGTTCCTAACTGCAGTGTGTATCAGAAAAACACACTTGCAGAGGAAGACCTGGCACCCAGCATGGTGAGGGCCACAGTCCTGAAGGCCGCTTAGTTCACCTATGGTCCGGGGCATTCTGAGGACATATTAATTCCTCCCAAGCTGATGGGTGTGGCCTGCTGCAAATGCATCTAAGTATTTGGAAACTAAAGACAGAGATCTCCTTGCATCTCACATTACATTACAGTAACTCGGTTACTCTGAAATACACACTACTTTTAAAGGCACAAAGAAGCTAAAGGTCTAGGAGTCAGAAAAGTGTCAGGTGGGGAAATTCTGCAAGTTTACGATGCACACAGAATTAACATTTTTTTACAGCTCCTTTGAGCTTTTTTGTCTAACCTGAGATTAGAATGGAACTGCACTGCTATTGTTATGCTGTCTCCAAACAGGACAAACTATAGGTTTTACACATTATGTGATTACTATACTTGGCGTGGCCTTTCCCTGAAGCAAAAAGACTGGCAGCAATTTCTCCCGCAGCCCTTCAAGCTCCACATGACTCACACCAATGGTTCTCTGAGGTAAGAGGTGACCACACTCCTCCACATGTCTGGCAAAGAGGTGGCTGATTCTGACTTTTCAATTGTGCAGAGGTAGGAAGTCTGCACACTTCAGAACAGTGTGTTCCTAACTGCAGTGTGTACCAGAAATCACCTGGAAACCTGAAAGGCTCCTGATACCTGGGCTGCACCACAGGATGGCTGAATCAGGATCTGTGTGTTGCTCAAAGCTTCTCGGATGACTGCAAAGAGCAGCCAAGCATAGAGTAACTGGACCAACACTATCAGTACACCCCGGGAGCGTGTGAGAAGTGCAGAATCTTGGCCCTTAACCCACACCCATAAAATCACACTCTGAATTTTAACAAGATCCCTACGTGAGATACATATTCCCACTAAGCATATTGGTTCAACCAGCACCACATGGAAACTTGTGGGAGATGAAAATTCTTAGATCTTGCCCCAGCCCTCCTGAACGAAAAACTCAGGCTGGGCCCCACAATTTGGCCTACAGTCCATCACTAAGATTTAGAAAATACCTCCATCCCCAGACAGCTTAACCCAAGCCCCAGCTGCTACCTTCATAGGTGTTTTTGTGCATAGATGTTTGTGCTACATAACACATCCCTACCCTACCCACTGGCTGCTTGGCTGGCCTCATTTCTGCTACTTTCACTTTTCATGAGTGTAGACAATAATTTCACCAGGAAAACTTGCCTACCTCCTGTCTTCCTGCCTGTCCTATGTGACTTCACAGCTTCTATACTATACGTATTACTGTGTCCCACAGACACTGTGGGAGGTAGAACATCCAGCACACAGTAGGTGTTCACTAGAAATGTGTAGGTTGAGTAAGTGAATGTGTGCAGAAGACCTGATTCTCGAGGCGTGGCAGGAAGCTATACACCATATGCATACCCCTCACAGGAGAGGACAGGGAGAAGTAGGATTTTTAAAATAAGATCTTACTTTTTTATGACACTTGAAAGAAATGTATCAGTACTTCAAATCTTGATAGGGTTATAGGCTAAAAGTTGCCAAGTACATCTACTCAACAGCCACCCCATAAACACATTCTATACAGGGGTCTGGGTAACAGGAATTCTGGAGATAAGAAAAATGAACTAAACTACAACACTGAGTTTAATCAGTTCAAGTGAAAAAAAAAAATCCTTTGTCGATTTTGTTAATTGTATTTTCCACCCAGAATTAACTTTTATTCATGCTCATTCTTTTGGAAATAATTTTAAAATGCTACGATTTTTTACCTTTATTTTCTTTTCTGTTCTTATTCCTAGAATGCTTCAAACATGTTTTCTTCTACCAGAAAGAAAAAACAAACACATAGGTCTGGCAGGGAAGCCCTCCCTCCAGTGGTTACTTTCAATAGTACCACAAAGGAAGAGCCAAACCTTAGGGAGAAAGACAGGAGCTGAGTCACGGCTGTGCAGAGCTACTGAGCTCACCAGCGCTGCCTGTTGCTGCAACCACTCCCTTTTACACAGCTCAGGCTCAGAAGAGGGCTGTGTCCCACGACCCACCCACTTCCCGTCTGAGCTTTTTTTGTTGTTGTTTCAAAACTGGATTTAAAAGACCGTTGACTGTATAATTTTCTATTACAGAACTCTGACATGCCAAAAGCAGGTGGGTTTGTGACAGCCACCAGAGGTACTACATAGATCAATACAATCACAAAGCTTTTGTATTTCAAAAATTGATCTAAGGCCATCACTAAACATGGTTTTTCCCAATAAAAATCTTTAAGAGGATTGCTAACACTATGCAACTGACTGTCTTTAGTAGATTTAAAAATGCTGCTGTACCTCCAACGGTCTATGTGTGACACCATCTTATTTCTTGGTAAACCCTGCTATCAGACATCCCTCCGTCACAGGCTCAATTGCTTGAGGTAAACAATTAACACTTAAACTCCTACCACCTACCACAGTTTCCCCTAATCTACAAAGTCCTTCTTCTTGTTCTTCTTCTTCTCCTTCTTCTTCTTCTCCTTCTCCCTCTCCCTCTCCCTCTTCTCCCTCTCCCTCTTCCTCTCCCTCTCCCTCTTCTTCTTTTTGTACTAGGAATTCAACTCAGGACCTTGCACTTGCCAGGCAGGCGCTTGTGCTACAGAGCTATATCCCTGGCCCAGAAAGTGACTCTTTTGTTTAGGGCCAGATTAAATGACAGAAATTCAAAGTTCTTCTTTTGTATTCTCCCAACCAGGAAATAGTAATAGGATACTCCAGGCATATAAAACAGCGCATGATAACAAAAGAAATGTAAGTCGTTCAAATATGCCATGTCAAAGAAAAACGCTGCTGCATAGCCTCAGCTGTGAATTCTAAGTTTGAGCGTTTTAATTCACAGCTAACCAAATTGGGGACTTCAGTTAGATATTATGTCTCAAATACTAACTGGTAAAGTTGGTAGATAACACATTTGCGCTGAGCCGCTTATCTACCCTAGAAATTTGTCATGGTCAAGATGATTTGAAAACGAGGTATGAAGTGTGTGGGGGCTGATGGGAAGCTCCTGGCTGCATTACGGCATTTCTGCAACATTTTCCTGTCTGTCGCTTGCTGCAAAGGAGGCAGTGGGAGTGAGCATTAATTACAAGGCAGAGAACCCAGCCAATGAGGAACTGTGGAGGACAGAACAACCAGCTCGAGGAGTTCAGAGAGTGGAATCTCAGAGTATCTGAACATGTTGTCTGAAGCTCAGGGAGGAGAGAGGATCTGGCAGGTCGAGGGATGTTCATCGACCTGCAGTACTGTTCATACGGCCAGCGGCACGTGCAGTACTCTCAGGGACCCAGAATACACAGAATATGGGACTGGTCACTCCTGAACACCTCAGGCCTAAGCGCTACCCGCTGAGGACAGAGGACGTGCAGGGCGAACAGTCATCAGTAAATGTCAGCCCCTGTCATTCATGACACCTGGCCTAGAAGGCTTCCTTTCTCCCATTAACTTGTGCTCTGTAAAAAAGACCAAACATGCAAACCAATTCAGGGGCCTGCTTAGTTCCAAATACCTGGAACCTATATCTAAGAAATTCCCTAACTTAGCAGATGAACTGTAATGAAAATGGCATATGTAAATGGCATAACTATCATGTTAAGTAGTATGGAGAGTCCTCAAAACACTAACACTAGAAATTCTTGGGGATCTAGCTGTTGCCCCTTCTAGGAATCTTCCCCAAAGAGTTAAAGTCCCCATGGCACAGTGCTTCAGGCATGCTCATGTTTGTAGCAACACAACTCACAATAGCAAAGTCCTGGAAGCTGCCTGTATGTCCATGCACAGATGAATGGATAAGGAAGATATTATTTATACACAGTGGAAAACTACTCTGCCATAAAAAATAAACTTGAGTCATTTGTAGGAAAATGGATAGACCTTGAAACCATAATGTTAAGTGAAAATTAATCTGAAAGACAAGCTTAAATATCACACAGTTTCTCATACATTAGAAAACTCAATATATAAATACAGTATAATACAAAAGACAGTTAAAAAAAGAGGCAAAGATGTTATTGCAATCCAATGCACACAAACTTTGATTTAGGGTAACTGTCTTATGTGTTCTATATGTGTTTTAGCCTGTTTGTCTGCTTTTAATCTGAATGTGTGATAATTAACTTTATAAGTACTTATAAGATAAATAAGTGAATCTGATGCTTAACCAAAAGAAGAAACAAAACAAACAAACAAAAAAAGAGGGATGGAGGGGAAAGGAGGAAAAGAAAAAAAGAATCAAGGTATGTTAGGTTCACGCACCAATTGCATATAGTGAATGGACTCATTATGCCCTGAAAACATGTAGTAATAAAATTTTTTTAAAAATTAGTTACATAAAAACATAGCTTAAAATGACTCTAGAATGGCCAAGAGGTGGGTTTATATTCATCATACTCTTCATGGCGCTGTGAAATTGGACTTGGAAACTGTAGGCATCTACTTGCTACTTTTTCATCGTTCTTACCCCTGATTATTTGCCAAGATTTCATCCACATTGCAGCTTTTCACGTGGCTGTTTCTACTATGCACTGTAAGATTATTAACTCCTTCCTCAAATATTTCTTCCAACAGATATTTCCTAGGTATCCATTTTGCCACACATAATGTGATGTCTGAGGAAAATGGGGTGGAACCCCAACTTATTTAAAAAACAATTATCATTACAATTTTTCTTCGTATTAAAACTAGATTCATTCTCATTTTGTAAATAAGTGAAGTAATAGCCTAATTTAGCTTTTTAATTCTAAACTTGAATCAGAAAAGTTCAGTTTCCTTGGAGACTAGCAGCTCAGCTAAAATGTGAAGCACACTTTCAGGGAAACCTGGGACTCATGACTTACGTTTGTACCCCCCAGCAATGCCGGACTGTGTCAGACATCTTTGTAATTCATCAGCATCTATTTGCCCATCCTTTTGGAAAAAAACAAAACAGGAAAAGAAGTCACAACAGTGATTTGTACTGTCTGTTAAAGTTCTTTGTTTACCTTCAATATAACATTAATGAAGGAAGAGTACCATGCATGAGATTTTTTTTCTTAAAGTAATTCTTCCACAAGCGGGCATTACTTTCCTCATCCTAACTCCAAAGCTACTTTAATAGACTAATTTGAAATCTATTTTGACAACATCCCTCAGTCTGAACTAGGAAACTGCTAAAACTAAGTATTTTTAAAATACTATGTATGAAGGTGATTAAAAAATTTTTTTTGAAGGAGAAAGACTGAACAGGATACATGGCAGACATCAGTAAATAACTCAGTTCAAACAGAAAGACTCCTTGATAATTTTTTATTTGATTTTTTTTTTTTTCATTCCCAGAGCGTAATATTTGGAAGATACAGGTTAGGTGCTCTGTCAGTACCAGCTCATTGGCTGAATTAAGGCAGACCTACAGATATTTGTCACTTTTAGAGATTTAAAATAAAATATCTAAATCCTCCAGTGAATAAGTACAATGAGGAACAGGATCAATAATTTCAGAGAGGTTGAACATGAGAACTCAGGGCAAGCACACTGAAAGCTAAGCAGGTAGGGTCACTTACCCAGTGGGGGCTCTGGCCACCTAAGGGCAGTAGTCTTAAGGTGTGCCATGTCTTGTGGTTTCAAAGACACAGATCAGTAACAGATGAAGCAGATACTTCATAGGAAAGTCTTCCAGTTTTAGACCCAATTTTCCATTCGAATTCTTAAAGCTTTGTTTCCTAGAGTGTTACTTTAATAGGTGGTCTAAGGTTCTTGCTCTGTAACATTCTACAGTACTTATTTATATTATGGTTTTGCAATTTTTAGTTTTCAGTCAAAACAAGACTGTTAAATTCATAAGGATAAACATGCCTTCTTAACATGTCTGGACTGTGCCTACAGTGTTATTTACTGTACACAGTGACCTTGTGGTTTAGGCAAGTGTCCTCCCTCAAGGCAGTCCAACAGCTATCACACAACTCAAGAATGCAGGGACGTGGTCTTTGAAGCTAACCTGAATTCTGTGGCTGGGTCATCAGGTCATAACTCCTAATAAGGACACGGGAGAGCTAGTCCAGTAACAGCTCAGGAGGGAAAGTAAGTTTCGAAATATTAACTTCCTGATGCTGATTGTAGGTACTTAGAAGTTGGTAAGTCTTTATATACATACCTATTTCCTGATTCAATAGGAAAAAATGTCCTTCGAACCCTGTTGTACGAACACTAATACACGTCTTTAAATTGTACAAACAGGTTTCCCAGCTCTTGATTTCTTCTCTTGACACCACCTTGGAGTCTAGTAATTTAATTCTAAAGACATCTTTCCTCTCGCAGATCTGCAAAATATATTTATACGCCTCATCCCTTCCTTTCTTATTTAATCACATTTGGATTGAACTGAACTGAAGTACAGGTAGTAATACCTCGTCCTACTTTGATCTAATATATGCAAGAAACAAAACAGAAAATAAACAACTTTCTTTTTGCACACAAAAAACCCGGACTCATTTCAGGGTAAAGTGTGGTCTTCTCGACGGACAGAATGCAAAGCGAACACAACACGGTATCCGAAGGAAGGCAACGCTGACCTGGCCGGCCACCGCAGAGAAGTAGCCGTACAGCGGGTCCTGCGTCTGCGCGGGAAAGGCCGGGCCTCCGGGCGCCCCTCCGTACTGTCAAACGGGAAACACGCGCGTCAGCATTGCGCCGCATGTTATTCACCGCCACGGGCTTTCGAGGAGAGCCAGGCACCGGCCGCCCGCCCTGGCCAGCGTGACCTCCCCATCGCACCACACAGCCGTCCCGAGTGGCGTCCCGGCCCCGACCCGCGGGCGACCCGGAGGAACAGGGCCGGCGGTGCAGGGGACAAGGAAGTCAGGAGCAGGGACACGCCGGGCGGGCGGCGTCACAGCAAGGGCCGCTCGGCGCCCCGGAGCCCAAGGGTCCTGTCCCCGCAGGCCGCACTTACCCCGCCCGGGTAGTACCCGCCGCCCGCGCCGGGGTGTCCGGGATACGCCATGGTGCAGACTGCGCGCCGCCGCCCGCCGCGCCCCGGCCTGGCCCCGCCCCGGCTCAGGCCAAGGCCCTGCTCAAGTCCGCCCCGATTCAGGCCCCGCCCCGATTCAGGCCCCGCCCCGGCTCAGGCACCTCCCGGCTCAGGCCCCGCCCCGGACTCAGGCCCCGCCCCGCCCGGGCTCAGGCCCCGCCCCGGCTCAGGCCCCGCCCTGACTCAGGCGCCTCCCGGGTCAGGACCCGCCCCGGCTCAGGTCCCGCCCCCGCCCCAGGGTTTCTGTCTCCGCAGCCAGTGGTATTGAGGCCGCCGGCCTTAAGAGCTGGTGACGCTGGGACCACGACTCGCTGTGTCGTTCCCTCCGAGGTCGCTCCCGGGCAAAATGAGGGCTGCTGCCAGCAAACACCAGCACGACACCCCAGGAACCCAATTCCCTCGCCAGGATGTTTTCCAGGCCACTTATTTCAAGCACGCTATTCCCTTTCCCCCAGCCACTCAGCTTCATCTGGCGCAGAAGCTGAGAACAGGCAAGAGGTCTGGTGAGCGCTGAGGAAGAGGAGCGATCTGCATTGCACTTGGTTATTCACAAAATGCTTTGCCTTACAGGTCTTCTTTTCACTGAACTAAGACGCCAGCATCCTCTAAGGGCTCACAGTGGTGGTTGCCAGATTACCCTCCCTCCCCCCAGTACTAGGGAACCAACAACAAAATTTGCATTGTTAAATGGTTGATAAAAAACAGTAAAAATTTCACGATTTTTGACAATTGTATGAAATCCAGCATTATAAGCCTAAATAAAGTCGTACTGGAGCACAGCCACATCGTTTCATGTGCTGTCTCTGGATCCTCAGGGGCTGTGACAGTAGAGTTAAGTAACCCCTGGCGGGCAAGATCTGACCTAAAACAGGTGTCCTCACCGGTCCCTATGTCCTCTGCCCCTGCTTAGAGCACAGGCTCTGCAGCTGCAGGACCTGGCAACTCCTCTAGGAGGCGCATTCTCCAAGTTCCTCAGTCCTGCAAGGACAGTAAGGATGGCCGGATCTCCCGGGGATCTGTGAGAATCCTGCAAATGTATAAAATGCTCAGAAGAGGGTCTAGCACTACCAATGGGTTAGCAGTAACTGTTAAGACTTTCATTACAGTGCTCCATTAAAATTCACTTCTTTTCAGGGAGCAGAGTGGAGTAGGAAGATATCGACGGAGTACTGAAATGATAGAATACTCACTTATTCATCAAACCAATTCTGCATCGCTTGCAAAGATTTTGTTATGCGTTGCTTTGGACTTGAGTCCTAAAGGTGTTTACACTGAATTATGAATTCAGCCCTGATCAGAGCTGAAGGCTTCAAAAAAGAGGCCAGGGACTCAAAACACCTCTTCCATTTGATACTTACTGTGGTTTATGAAAATAGCAACGTATTTTTTGAATAAAAGCAAAAGGGACTTATATCCTCTGTCCTAATATTTACAGTTGGGAAATCCAGTCACATTTCTGTAGGACTTTAAAAAATCACAAAGTTGAGAACACTTTTTTATTTTAAAATAATTTCCTTAACTATGTTTACTGACTTCTACACTTGTTCATTGTGAAATTTTAGCTAGAACCCAGGGTAGTTCTGAATTTCTTTCAGAAACTATTTTCTTCAAGGAATATTTGAAGGATAGACATTTGAAAATTAAAGCAAACAATAAAGATACAGAACTGGAACTCAACAGATTTTTTTTTCCTCATTACATTGCTTCCCAAGAAATTAGGACAAAGAGAGCCTACAGGAAAAAAAATTCTTAGAAAATCTTTCAAAAAAGTCTTAAGTGTCTGCCTAGGGCAGGATCACATAGATAAAGACTTGTGCATATTTCTTTTACTCCTAAATAAGCCTACAGTTCATTTTAATTTTGAACCAAATAAATATCTCAGTGGAATAAAAACTCAATCTTTTGCCTATATCTCCAAATTGCAAGTCCTAGGTATGTACGCTGCAAACTCTATGCCATGTAAAGAAACTCAGCAACAGAACCCCTAAGGTGTATATTTAAAATAGCAAGAGGATGTCCTCACTGGTGTAGATGGTCTGGAGAGGTAGCTTCAGTTACTTTGCAAGTTTTGTTGAATCTGCTGGAATGAATATTCTATGAAAGGATCTGTATTGTTTCCATTTTACTAAAATTGGGAAGGTTAACTTTAATCTACATCTGATTTTCTCAGAGGAAGACAGAAAGGTGAGGCTTTTAAAGGTAAATGAGAATAATTTTGGCAAAATGGCAGCAGTGCTGCTTTATAGCCACAGTCCTGAGATTCACAGCTGGGATGTCTAGTCACATTTCTGTACGACTTTTAGAACTTGTAAAGTTTCCAGGCGCATGGTGACACAAGCCTGTAATTTTAGTATTTTGGAGACTAAGGCAAGAGGATTCTGTGAGTTCGAAGCCAGCAAAGGCTACATAAGCAAGTTCAAGGGCAGCCTGACTGACATAGTGAGACCCTGTCTCAAAAATAAATTTAAAAAATAAATAAATAAATGTCATAATGTTCAGAACACATTCTTTCATTTAAAATAAATCCTTTATCCATGCTTATTGACGTCTACATTTGTTCAGTTTACACTGCTAAACTTTAGCCAGTCCCCAGACCATTTAGAAAATATTTTATGGAAGATTATTCAATGCAAAATCTTGAGAATGAACTTGCTGGGTGTGGTGGCACATGCCTCTAATCCTGGCACTTGGGAAGCAGGAGGGTCACCACAAGTCCCAGGCCAACCTGGGCTACATAGTACATTTAAGCCCAGCCTGAACTTTATAGCAAGACTCTGTTTTTTAAAAAAAAAAATGAAGAAAATAAAGAAAGAAAAGCAGGAAGGGAGGAAGGGAGGAAAAAAGAAACAAAAAGAAAGTAAGCAAGCAAACAAACAAACTTTACAGACCTTCTCAGCCTGGAAAACAATCGGACAGTAGAAACATACAGATGAAGGACAGTTGTATTTTGATTTAGAGAACATTTGAGTTATATGGAACTGTCTAATATCGCATACATATCTTTAACTTACCTGCATCTTGAGATCTTTGTGTGAGGGCAGATGGGAGAATCAGGAAGTCTAAACTCTTAACAGGATGTGGAGCACATTACCCTCTGGATCCTTGGCAATCAGTAACCAACTATAACCAAGTGCAGCAGTGTGGGCAGTCTTCCCAGAGATACTAAAGAGGTGCTCTGAGAAATGTGCTTTGTGCAGGGCTAGAAAGAATGTCCTAGAGCAGCCAAGCTCCAACAGCAATAATGTTAGACACACCCAAGGCAGTACTTGAGAGTCCTTCACAACGATAAGCATCTGCTAAAGATCAGCAGGGCTGTGCATTGCACAAGGGGTGGATGACTCAGACTCAATTTTTAGGAATTTTTCCAGTCCACTGTTAAATATGTCAGTTAAAATTGTATGTTAAAAATTTTAAGTAGGTATTTATGATCTTCTGAATTTTTGTAGGATCTATAGTGATTTCACCCCTTCATTTCTTTTTTTTTAAATTTTATTTTACAAGGGAAATGAAACAGAAAGAACACCCTTAAAATGTTTCCTGTCTTAAATTTGATTCACTAAAACCTTGCATTTTTTTTAAGATTATGACCTTCCACAATTCTCTGCACAGAAATCCACTCATGATTTCAAGTCAACCTTTTATTGTTTTACAGAAACTATTAATTTTGAGTGTCCTCTATGTTACTAAAAAAGTG